ATTCAAGTCTCATAGCTTAGGTTACTGGTAGTTATGAGTGAATAGTAGGACATTATCACTGTGCAGTTTATGCCTGTTGTTATTCATCACTGAGTGGTGTGTAATAAAATAATATGAGTTGCTTTTCCAGTCATAATGGTGTGCATTACGCAATTGCGTTTTTTGAAAAACAGGGATAAATGCATATAACACTTGTAAATCCCAATCGTCGGTGAGTGATAACCGTGGACCAAGGCGACAGAAGCATCAAATTGGTATACATTCTTAATATTATTGCGTGTGTGCGCGAGCGATGCAGTGGACAGTATTGGTAGTGCGTTTAACAACTAGATGTCAGCGTTTCCCAGTACAATCAAATGTTTTAGCAAAAATCTTTCCTGCATTATCACATCGCGCAGGCTCGCTGTATACTTTCCGGGGCATGTAAATTACTCTCGCATCTCACTCAATCTGCCATTTCTCACTGGATATTTAAGTAGGAGATTTGTCGTTTGTAGCGAATAAGAAAATACGTTAGATTTGGGTATTAACGAGTGCACGTGGAGTAATAACTTGGGGAATGCAGAAGGAATATACCCCGGAGTCACGAAGACCTGCTGTTCACTTTTAACCAGTAAACTAAAGTTCAGTTTCAATCGACAAAAAGGGAACTCAAAAAGTCAGGCATGGTACTGAGACGGATTTTAGCACAGCTTTGAATTTGATCTATACTGGCTGTGCTCCAGAATAAGGTTGCTCGTGGGAACATTGCCCCTGTTTGTTCTATATATTTCAACTGCTGGCTATTCACAGTCCAAACCACCAAAAGTAGTGTGGTAAAACGCGGTCGTTCCAACAACCCTGAAAAGAGCCGTAATTAGCCGGTAACTGCATTAGGAACAACGAAAGGAGAACAATGTCAATAATATCACCATATCAGGATGTTTTTCAACAAATAAGTCGAAGGACCCTTCACAGGTTTAATTTGAACAATCAAAAAGCCATTTACCAATGCGTTATTCAGCAAAGCTCATGACGGTGGAATTCATAATCACTAAAATTCATCTGAACATCAATCGATATGTTTAACACTCATCGATCCAACCGAAAACCTATTCATCTTCACATTCAATCGCAAACCTGTCATCCTGGGAAGTACCGGTTCATAATGTCTAACCATAAAATCACACATTCCTATTGTTCTACAATAAATTCTTTTCGGCAGTATGATAGCGCTGGTTGCGACAGTAGCAGTATGAAGGGGAGGGGTCGACATCTATCACATATCATATCGAGAAGCTATCATTTTCCACCGCATCTAATGTTGATTAGCAATGACATGTTCTCCGAACCATTATCTTCTATTGTTCTGGCCTCTTACAATCTCAACTAACTGTCAGTATGCGTACGATCGGAGTTGATGCGTGAACTGTGGGTGAAACGCACAGTCTGATTGCTCGATCTCTCTCAGTCAATGCAAGAGCGAGATTGTCCATCGTGTGTGCGGATGCATCCGCTTAAGCATTTAAGGTGTCTGTCTGTTGATTATTTGAAAGTAGTCTGTCCGCACTCGATGAATTTGATTGGTATTGGATTGCAAACAAGTTTGCTTTGAACGCATTCACGGAAGAGCAGCCATGCAAATCGGATCGCCTTGGTATTCGTCACCAACCCATCCAGAGAAATCTGTGCCTCTCATTTCTTTCCCGTTGTTTAAATTCGTTTACCATGACCGGGTTATGTGCACCACATTATTGATCATCAACATAATCATCATCATCATCATCATCATCACCAGCAGCAGCAGCAGCAGCAGCAGCAGCAGCAGCAGCAGCAGCAGCAGCAGCAGCAGCAGCATTCTGGTTATGATCATCAAGTGCACACACTGACAAATAGATATACTGAAACTTATTTCGGTTAATTATTCTTCAAGATTTTCATGCGAACAATGATTAACGTTTTTAGTAAAATTTTCATTGGCAATTATTATAAATAGGATCAATTAGTTTGTTACACATTTGAAGACCTTTCGTAAAATATTTGTGTGTTATTCAGTAAATATGTGGTAGCTAAACAAAATGTGGAACATTGAAGTGTATGCAAATTATATAATACAAGTTCTCCAAACACAAACCTACTTTTATGTTATGTAATATTATTTAAATCACCATATTATAAACACAATACTCGTCCGAATGGTAAATTTCCACTTTTTAATAAATTGCCATTTGGTTCATTGAATGAGAGCAATTTGCGGTGGCTCACTTTGAAATTCTGCGGTTCATAATTTACTGAATACATTCAAAGATACCCCTGCGGATCACTGCCGCTGTGTTCAAAACCTGAAAACCACGAATCTTTCCGCATAATTGATTTTATCGTTCCGAATCATTCAGGGGGAAAACACACCCATATTAGCAATCTATATGTGAGATGGAACTTTATTCAATAGTTACACTATATACTGTAAGGTCCGCTGAGGTCGAATCGATTTTATCGTGTAGTTTATTTAATTCGTCGATTTCAAGCAAACCAGAATAATCCTACTGAGGACAGTCATCGACCGCGTGTGCTATGCAGTGGACTGAAATAATAACGCAATGAAATGTGAGAACACGAAGTGAGAAACTAGCTCGTTTCCAGGTGTTTCATACTCATGACTAGTAGGTAGAGAACTTACATCTTGGTGTCCTAAATGTTCAAAACTATGGTTACCAGTTTCATTAGGAAGCAGTCATCCCGTATTCGGGTGCTTGGTGTTCGATCAGTTGCGTGGGAAATCAAATTCGACTCTAATTCAACAAACGTATTGTGTTGACTCTGAACACGTGAACTACGAACATCTGTAATCGTGTGTGGCTGATTTATTTGTTGTTCTCGTAACGAAACAAGGCGGGTGAATTCGTATCTCACTGACCGTGCAGAAGATCTTAAAACCCCTGCAAACGTATCTCAACAATCATTAACTGGTTCACACCATCGGCCATTGGAAACGTCTTTTTTCTCACTGAACGCGAAAAATGACGTCATGTGATGTCAATCGATTTCTCACTTCCAAGGTCAAGTCAACACCCTAGCTGTTCATTCTGCGGTTAAGAAAACACCAGCAATCAATGTGACCGGACTCACTTTGTGGTTTTCTCCGACAATTTTTAATGTGCTTATCAGCCAAACTGTATACATGTGTGGTAATATTTTTTCTTCTATTTTACAATATGAATTATTCTGTGATCACCAGCTCGTCAGTGCAACACTGATTACCGATGTAAGTCTTACTTTCTTACCACAACGTACACCTTTTGGTAGGTTTGAGGTGATTGCCCTTGTAACTGCTTATTATCCTATGTGCTTTACTTAGTCAACAGATTTGGTTCATCCTATTCGCGCTTGTTCCTTTTACCCGCCATGCTCGTATATGCATTTGTGGTTCGCGGGCCAACCACCCTGCTACTGCTATTGCTCTGCTGTCTCATACAAACATGTCGCGTAATCTTGGTGCATAAATGCCTATAGCATTATCCCGGTCTTTAGCGGAGCATGTTTGAATGTAGATCACGGTGACAACGAAGTACTTAACTGCTCCCGATTGCTAAGCTTCTTTTCCTGTTCATCCCGAACACAAGAGCCCACATCCATACGCTTGCGTTCACAAATAAAGAGTCCGAAAACCATTAGCCTCCTGTACTAAATACACAAGTTATTTTTGACTGATTGCATCACAAACGTGTGCACAAAGTTGGATTACTTAACTTTGATTAGCATCGTTGCGTGGAAACTGAAGTGCCTGGGATTTATGTTATGTAACGACGGATTTAACGACAAAATTGGATCAACCAAGTGTTCAACTGTCATGACATGTTTTGCAATTGATGACCCTGGATTTATTTTATCAGATTGACCTCTAAAACTGTGTTACCTATTGTGATTATTTGGGAATGGTTTTGGACATGCGTTATGACAGGGACCGATTTGTTCTGCCGATTTAGGTGTCACCGCAACTGCAGGTGAACTGACAGACGACACTGGCTCTGTTCTGGGTATACCGCAGTAATGGAAGCTGTGCAGCCAGAAAAGCTCAACACAAGACCACCTTGAGCTTTTGATGCTCGTTGTGGTGATGGAAAAAATTAAAAGAATTGTGAATTTCTCGCAGTATTTGCCCTCACCCTGTTCCATGCAAATTGGACAAGGGTGAACGACGTGAGGACTGGAACCTTTGCTAACGTTGCGCTACAAAACCGTAGTGGAACGGACGGCGATTGCGTTTTACTGAAAATCTAATCCTTCGGTCTAATTCCCATCGAGGTTCTGGAACTCTGTTCCAAGTCATTTCCATCAGACAGGTCAAACAACAAGCATGTATTTCGTCCATTGACGTATGAACCGCAAATCCCCTCGCCTGACACAGGGAATCACGTGTTTATGATTATCACGTGCTTTCCGGATGAGTGTTTGTTACAGCCTGGTTGGTTTTCCGCGCTTACCTTAGTTTGTGAAGAATGTGCCAGCTGCATATGATAAACAGAGAGCGAGAGGGTAATGGGAACCGAGGGGTGATCGAATGCACGTTACTTAACTGCATGCCAATTTCAAGTAGTGACATGGATGATGCCACTATTGCCCGTGAACTGATAATGCTTCCTTTCCAATGGTAATGTGGGATTGTGTGTGTGTGTGCGTGCATGTTTTTACGAAATTGGTGTGCCAGAAGATTGAAATCGTCATTCATTACGTAACACAGCAATTGCATGCGTGTCACTCCTATGGCTGACACATTCATAATCTTGCATTGACGGGAAACCACACCCTTTAATCAGTAAAATTCTCCGTTATACTCATTTGTCATTTTTCCTCCCTCCACACACATACTTACAGAAAGCCTCGTTTTTACCACCGCAAAGAAATAGCTTCTATTGTACAACCAATTCGGCCCTGGTCTCCGAACTATTCAATGAGCAT